ACACACACACAAACAAACTCATGGAGATTCAGACAGTTACTGACAAAAGGCAGTTACAATGACCACTTGTTGGGGCAAAGGAGTACAAAACTCTTAGCCTGAAATAATACTTTCCAAATGGAACTTGAATAAAAACCCAGGAAGGTACCCAGAGGCAAGTAAATGGCATGTGACCATAAGACAAACATTTTGATGATGGTTTACAAATCTGAAAGAACATATGTGTGAGTGCATGAAGTTAGGAACCTTACAGTGAAAAGTGAATTAAAAAAAAAGAAATTCAGAATGAAAAACCATGAATGACATTAGGTTTGGAGGCCACTGGCTATTAAAAGTGTATTGGCTGTGGAATATATAAATAGACTCTGGCTTAGATGACGATCGGTATTGGAGTACCTCAAGAATTTTCCCCTGCTTAAAAGAGAAGTTTTAATATTTTTATCAACGTCTTGAAAATATAGATGCCACACTTATCAAATCTCCAGATGACATCATCTCGGGAGGCTAGAGCCAGGATCTAAACACACTGGATGCTAGAGTCAGGATCCAAAATGATTTAGAACCCCGGACTGAAAGACGGAAGACTAAAGTTACACATAATTGGGCTTCGACATTCATAAGCATAAGATAAGGGAATGTGTAGAGGCAATATACACTATACAATTTTAGCATAACAAAAATCTCAAGATTGTAGAAAATGTATTATGAATCAATCAGTAGAGAGGTGTTTAAAATATAATGCAATTTTAGCATATAATAATAATAACTAGCATTTATATAGTGCTTACTATGTGCTGGGCACTGGGCTAAGCACCTTACAAATATCATCTCATCTGAATCTCATAACAACTCTCTGAGATGGGTGCTATTATTATCTCTATTGTACAGAGGAGGAAACTGAGGCAAAGAGATGTAAGCATCTGAGGGTAGAATTGAACTCAGTTCTTTCCAGTCCAGACCTAGCACTGTATCCACTGTGCCACCGAGCTGTCCCAGACAGAGGAATAATCCATTCCTGCTATACGCTGTCACCACTGGGACAGAAATGGAGTGCTTTATTTGGTACTGAGCACCAACTTTTAGGAAAGACATTGATAAGTTAAAGTATCCAGGAGGGAAAAATCATTATAATGGACGGCAGCATGAGGATCTGTTGAAGGGACTAAGGACGCCTAGCCTGGAGACCGGAAGAGTTGGGGGAGACATGATGATCATTGGCACATGCTTCAAAGGCTTGGAGATTCACATAAAAGAAGTGTGAGACTTGGCGGTCAGCCTGTCCACAGCAGGTTTAATTAGTTACTGCAAGGCAGATTTTTGACTTGGTATAAGAAGAAATGCTAATGATATTTTGACAAAAATGGAATGGGCTGCTTCAGTAGGTAATGGGTCCTATTTCACCATATATCTTAATTAAAAGACTACATTCATGCTTGTTGGAGATGTTTGGAAGTGTTCTGGGTGACCTTTGAGATTCTAAGAATTTGTACACTACTTACATTGGGAAAATAATCTAGAGTTTTATTGTTTTTGTTTTTGTTTTTTTTTTTAAACTGGAAGGAAATTTGGAGGTTAAATCTAGTCCAATCTTCTCATTTACAAATAGATTACTGGATGAACAAATTAAGTAACAGAATCCCAGAAAAGTGATTTGCACAAATCTATGCACACATTAAGCAAAAAAGCTCAAATTGGAGCCCATGGCATTTATTATCACAATTGTAATGCAATACAAAATATTTAAAGGCAGGAATCTTTGATTTGGTAAAATTATGTAAAATTCATAGCATCCCAGGGGACATAGGAGACATTTTCTTTAGTCTATATAAGGTAAACCAATTTTTAAAAGTATGTTCAAGGTTCTACTTATTGAAACATATTCATCATAATAAGTTCAGTCATTTTTATTTTCAGGTGTGTTCACACAAATATAAATATTTAAACTTGTTTAAAATTAGCAATCAAGTATGTAACTGAACTATTTGGTTCTTTATTTAGAAAAAAACCATCAATTAGTACTATACACTGCTTTCTGCCCAAAAGATATGTAAAGTTTTTTTTTTTCTTTTTCCTCTATCCAAGATAAATCAAATATAGATAAAGTAAAGAATAAGACAGGGAAAGTGAAATAAAGAAATAGGATATAAGGAATAGAAAGAGAGTAAGAAAAAAATGAAAAGACAGGAAGAAATTATGTTCATATGGTATATTCTTTTTGTATGGGATAGACCCTCTCCTTCCCTAAAAAAAATACAAATTAAATAGAAAATGATGTTTTATCTACCTATCTATCTATCTATCTATCTATCTATCTATCTATCTATCTATCTATCTATATTCCATCTTATGTTTGTTACTCTGTGTGTGTGTGTGTGTGTGTGTTGCAAAGTGCAATGCCATTCAATTATTTCTGTTCCCAAAGTTTCAATGGATGTAACTCCAGCGTAGGTTTGGCATAGCCACTTGTAGTTCTGGAATTTAGTCACTAGATGGTGCCACTCTACTACAGCTCTGTTACTCCTGTTCGGCATCCAGCTTCACAAAGGTGTTACCTAATCCAGGCTGGTACTTGACAGCCTGACAGGGTTACTTAGTATGGCTAAACTGACCTTTCTATGTATTTGCAATAAGTATGCTCTCTCAAGCTTTTGCATTTGGGAAGACAATACAAGTGACTCAATGTACCCCAGAAAGGACAGTCCAAATCGGGCAAATTCCAGAAGCAGAGTGACAGTCAGTAATAACCTCTATACTGACAATTCTAGGGATAAGTTTAAAGGTAGTCTCCATATTTGGGCCATAAATATGGGACACTGGCCTTTTCATTCAGCCTCCCTCTCCACCCCATGACTGGTCCCCCAAATACACGCACACACACACACACACACACACACACACACACACACACACTGACACCAGGCTACCAATCTTAGCAGACTCAGACAGAAGGCAATTCCATTAATACCATTAATATTCAACTGTAGATTCCTTCCCATCCTCCCCACTGTTGGGTTGGGGGGGGGCATGATATGAGCACAGGTGACAAGCCCATGAGGGGAGGAGAATAGTCCTTACATTCTCCTTGAAAGGGTTAAGTGGGCATACATCCAGAGTGATACCACAAGCCTGGCCCCCAAAAACATGGGCACTGATCTCTTGCAAAGGTAAGGATCATTAGGGAGGGGACCACACTCCATATTCTTCTAGGTTCATTTCTTCAACTCCCTGTGCCCATAATAAGGACCATTCCTGTGATCAGGGGACCCAGCACATTGATTTGGGTGAGACTTTCTTGAATAATAAGAACTTTAGCTAGATATATGTTCTGAAAAAATTCTCCAAAAGTGAGGAAAAATTAAATCCATAATAAAGTTGGTTTTATTTTGTTTTCAGTATCTGAAACTGTGTCTTTATGTGTTCCAAGAACTCCCTGCATGGAAACTCCTTGCACTAATGCAGATATTTAACTTATAACATTAGAGCATTTGTTGGAATAAGTTGGGCAGACTTAACAGTGAAAGGCTAAATGGATTGCCCAGACCTGGGCAGCTAAAATGTGTCAGGAGTCCAGACTTCAACCCAGGTCTTCCTGACTCTAAGGCTGGCAATCTACCCATGAGGACCTTCTATTTCTCTAAGCTGACTGGGAGGCAGATGGGGTTAACAGAGAGTGTGTAGACTTGGATTTAGGAAGAACCAGATTTGGATCCTGCTGTAGACACCAGCTGCATTCCCCTTCTGATTAGTGGTGTGACCCTAGGCCATCTCCCAAAATGTGGATGCCTCACAGCATCATTTCCAATGGAAATAAAAGGTATACAACATGCTTGGCAAGCCTTAAAGACCTATATAAATGTTAGCTATGACTCTTAGTATTATTAGCCATTATTTTCACCACCCCTCCAGAACTCAGAGGTGGCCCATGAAAAGACACCCCTTCATCACTGAGCCTGAAAATATTTAGGTTAAAGGAAGTCCTCTTTCCTGCCGGGGCTTATTCAAGCTGATGGCTAGGGTGAAGTTTCTCACTGATGGTTTGCTCTGACATACAGGGAAGAAAGTGTCTTCCACCTTAGGACTCAAGAGTTGCCTAGAATATGAAGAGGTTACATAACTCATCTATGGTCAGAGATGGGACTTGATGCCATACCTTTCTGACTCTGATGGTATCTCCCCCCTCTCACGTCAGTCTGCCTTTCTCCTTAATAACATTCTGATTTTGCAATGAGATAAAAAGAAACCAAGGCTCAGAAAGTTGAAAGGATTTGTCCAAGGTTTCAGAGTTTGTCTTAGGTTTAAACCCAGGTCCTTTAATTCCAAATTGGGATGTCTGTGATCAGAAATCTAGGCTTTTAGGGCTTTTTATCAGCTTGCCTAAAACATGGGCTAGAGGAGGTCCAGGAAAGACAATTGAGGCAAACTATCATTCGGGAAGAAGCCCAGTCCTAGGGAATGCTTCACTTCCTAGATCTGCCTATGGAAAAGAGAGAGGGATGGTTTCTGTCATTTCTGCCTGACCAACCTCAGGCTTGGCCTCTGATACTTAATTCCAATACAGTCTGAGCTTAGCTAAAACAAACTGGGTATAGAGAACCATTGGGCAAGTAAATAGGAACAATTGACAGGCTAACCACTAGAGCTAATTTTGAGTCTGAATCTAAGAATGAGACACATGAAGTTTCTGGTCCATCTTCTTCTCTGTAAATTGCTCTCAAAAACTGAAGTGAAAAATTTGCTGGTGTTACCCTGGATGCCAAAGGGAAGACTGAGCTGTGTTTTCTTGAGAATGAAAGTGGTTTTCTTTTGTTGCTGTGTATTTAACAAACAAAAAACCTGAAAAGTTAATAATGCCAGATTTAGAGGAAATAACACAAAACCAAGGGGCCACATCATATGATAACCATGTGCATCTCCAGAAGGCAGTCACTGCATGTTTAATTGCCATTACATGGCTCAAAACTGTCCCCCACACAAGAGAGATTTTCAAAAGTCATACGCACGATTTTCAAGTGAGATAAAAGTCTCATGACATCGGCCATGTCAGCTAAAATGAGCAAACGAGTAACAGCTGAGAGCAGAGCTCGGGCAGCTCGCACCATGGTGCCACGCTTCACTGACGAACATGGGTCATCAGCAAATTCTGAAGAGGCAATTCTCATGGTTTCACCTACAAGACAAAAGACAAAACAAGGATTCATCAAGACCTGATTATGCTGTCGTCTAAAATGATGATGCTGATAATAACAATAGTAATAAGAATTATTATTTCAAAAATCAATGAAAAATAGATTGTTGCTGATAGAACAATGCTGATGATCCTCTTTGAACCTCAACCATCATGAAATCTCTTGAAGGAGTTAATTCTCATGCTATACAGACCTTGAAAAATCCTATTTGTAGTTCCTGTCGACCACAGATGGGGGATTTCCTAGACTGAATTCATTCATAAAAGGTATTACTTGTCTGACTACATAACTAAAGGGAATCTTAGAAGAGACAGAGCCACAGAATCATAGCATTTGAATAAAGTATGGGATGTCAGCAGCGATCTAAGTTCAAGCCATATGCAAAAGGAATTGCCTACCATATATCTTAGAAGTGGTTATCAAACCAATGCTTGTAGACCTCAGAGGAGAAGGAACTCACTGCCTCCTGAGGCAGCTCATTGCACTCTGGGACAGCTCAAAACACTAGAAAATTATACCTGACATCGGGTCTAAATCAGCCTCTTTGCAACTTCTACCCATTACTCATGGGGCAACGCATCGACTCTCTGGGGACCAAAAAATAAAGTCTAATCCTTTCTCCACTTGGCAGCCCTTCTAATAAAGGAAGACAGTTAACATGTCCACAGACTTTTTTCTCCTCCAGGCTAAAATACCTGTTTTGTTTTTTATGTTTTTTTGTTTTTTTTACAGCTGACACTCACATGACATAAATCATAAATCCAAGGTGTTCATCATTTTGGTTATTTTCCTTTGAAATTTCTCTAGCTTTTAAAGTAAACTGAAGTACCAAGAACTAAATGAAATAGGACACACAAGAGCTGAAGAGGGTGTACTATCCCCTCCTTATTACTGGAAGTTAAAGCTATCAACACAGGCCAGGCTTTCTTTAGCTTTTTGGCCACTACATCAAACTGCTGACCCACATTAAGCTTGCCATATACTAAAACAAAAATGAACATGAAACAGATCATTTTCAGAGCACCTTTTATATAGTAATGCCTCTTCCTTCTTGTTCTGGTAAAGCTGATTTTTAGTACCTAAGTAAAAGATTTTTCATTGATCTGTATTGATTTGTGTCTCCTTAGGTTCATCCCAATGCTCTAGTCTGTCAAGATTGTGCAAATTTGATAAACATTTCATTCATATGGCCATTCATGTGATTGATAAAAAAGCACATTGCCAAGCACAGAACCCTAGGGTGCTCTGCTGGAGACCTCCTGCTACTTTGACTCTGCATGATTAATAACCATGACCTGAAGGCTGTCATCAAATTAGGTCTGAATCCATCTAACTGTCTTATTGTCTAACACAGTCATGTCAAGCAAGCAGCTCTCAAACACCCACCTTGACCCAGATAAAAATGTAATAAATAAATAAACAGAAATAATATATACAAAATAACTAAATATATTGATTTTATGTTAATTAAAATGTTAATTTGAGGTTTTCTAAGTCAAAATATGGCACTCTGGGAGCCAGTTCTATTTGAGTTGGATACCATTTGTCTAGTATACATACCTCCATATTCTGTAAGAGAACAGTATAAGATATTTGACCAAGGTCCTAGTTAAAATTTTGGTCAACTCACCCCTCAGGGATCTCTTAACTTCCTAGGTTAGCAACCATGTCAAAATCAAAAAGAAGCTTAGTCTGCCATATTCTGGTTTCAATGATGCTCTGCTGGATCTTGGCAATCACTCTCTCCTATTCTGGGTGTCCATCGACCATCTATCTCTTTGATGATCTGTTCTAGAAGTTTCTCAGGAATTAAAGAAAATCTTACTACACTATTACTTGTAGTCTCTGTTATTATGTCTCTCCTTCTTCTCGGTATCTATTTCCTATTGGTCATGTTTAATCTGTCATATAATCATCCCATTTAAGACAAGAATATTGGGGTCCACATAGAAAGAAGTGAAGTGACCTGCCTGCCCCAGTTCACATGGGCATTAAATGGTAGGGCCAAGACTTTAACTGAGTGTTTCAGATAACAAACCCAATGTACTCCCATTACATTATGATGCTACTGATCCAATAGGAACAGAGAGTGCATTTAGATTATTTTTGCCATTAATGTAGATGAATGCTCATTTTCTCGGTTTCTGTCTCTGCCTCTCTCAGTGTCTCTGTTCTCTCTCTCTCTCTCTCTCTCTCTCTCTCTCACGCACGCGCACGCGCGCGCGCACACACACACACACACACACACACACTCTCCATTTTGACTGACGAATTCTACTTATTTGCACCTGGCCATGGTGGTGGTGATAGGGAAAAATTAATGAAGCAGTTGTGAAAAGTGGAGGAACTAAAGCTAACTGGTCGAGGGGACCCGGGTATTGCCTTCATCAAGACTGTATTCTATCTAAAATCAATTAACCAGACAAATCTCCTTATGCAAATTTTCTTGATAGTTAATGGTTGAAAATTCCTCAAGCAATGTAACATTAGGAATGCATCAATCCTAAATAAGCTACCACTTTAAAAAATGAAGAGAAATGAATATCTTTCTTTGGTTAGTTTGCAGGTCTTGAATGAAATTTGTCATCATCACATGGCTCATTTTGTTGTGTATTCCTGTGCAAAACTTTTGACATTTTTGCAGTGCATCTGGATGCAATGAAACAATTTTAGTGTGTGCTTAAAAGAAAACACTCATCCTCATGATGATGCTATTTTAGATCCAGGAAATGTGTCGATGTATATGAAATATATTACACTGTTGGATTCGAAAGGAAACTGCCATCTACAATGGCCACATTAGACTTGCAGATTGGCTCAGTCTTTATGCTCAACACAAACAACCTCAAGTTTTACAGCCCATACGAAACTTAAACATTCATTACTGTACTGTCAAAAAGGCACATTGGCAAGATTTATCTGGTCCTAAAGAACCAGAAAAACTTTAAAGGGAAGGCAGGTAACTTGGAAATAGAGATTTAAGCCAACAGCAGTCTCATGCATCAGATCAATTTTGCAGATATTCAAATAAAGCCTTCCACAGAAAAGCAATAAAAGCGTCTCCCACCAACACCCTAACACACAGGTATGCTCTCTGTCTCTTTCTGTGCATATCTCTCTGTATCTGTCTTCCTGTTTCTTTCTCTTTCTCTGTCTGTCTCTGTCTGTCTGTCTCTCTCTGTGTGTCTTTCACTTTGTCTCTGTATCTGTGTCTCTCTGTGTCTCCATCTCTGTATCTCTCTGTCTCTCTGTCTCTGTCTCTCTCTCTCTCTCTCTCTGTCTGTCTTTTTCTGTCTCTCTCTCTCTGTCTCTGTCTCTTTCTCTCCCACCTACTGCATAGTGATATGCCTTGAAAGGACAAACTGGAAAGAGAGGTAATGCTGAAGTGTGGCCATAGAATAACATAACTTAAAAGTCTGAAGGAAGCTCATAGAAGCCAACTAATCTAAACTATATTGGAACAGCAAGTAAGCCAATCTATAATATTCACAAGTAGCTGTCCATTCTCTTCTCAAAGCCCTCCAATGAAGGGGGAAGGGGGAACCATGATTTCCTGAGGTAGCCTATTTAGTCTTTGAAAGATAGTTCTAACTTTTAAAGAAGATTTTGCTTACATTAAACCAAAACCTGTTCTTTTTTATTTCCATTAATTGGTCATTTTCTGTCCTATGAGAACAAGGAAATTTAAAATTCATTAAAATAGTTATTAACTACCTATCATGAGTAAGACGCTGTGTTGGATGCAGCCCATAGCTAATCTGTCTTTGATTTGATAGATCTGACTAAGGTCATCACATCTCTTGTAAATATTCTCCTCTCCAGATTAAGTATCTCCAGTTCCTTAAAGTAATCCTCATATACCTCGATCTCTAGTCCAAGCTTTGTCAAGAAATAATATAAGCACCTTGAGATTAGGAATTGCTTCATTTCTACCTTTATTTCTCCAGTGCTAAGTACACAGTAGGTAACTGATTTAAAAAAAAAAATGTCAGTTGATTGAATGGAATTCCAACAAGTATGTTATCTATGGCATCAGTTCAGTCATTGAAAAGATTCTTGAAGAGCTGTGTGTAAGAGACTCTCTCCAAGCTGGTACTGACTCACTAATGACGTCTCCTTGAGTTTTGTTAGTCTATTCAAAATCCACCTAACTGTACTACCACATAACCCATAGATCTCCACTTTAGCTCAAGGCATAGCATAGGAGACTTTGTTAAATGTTTTGTTGAAACCTAAATCCTATAATCTAAAGCCTTTCTGTAATCTAGTAGTCTAGTTACTTTGTCAAAAAAGGAAATTAAATGAGTCTTTCATGAGCCATTCTCGATAAGATCATGCCTACTTTTTTGTGAGCACTATTTCTCTCATGCATGTACAAACAACCCACTTGAATTTTGTCAAGAATAGAATTCAAGCTCACTGATTTTAGTTTGTAGAATTCACTCATTTTTTCCCCCTGAAAACTAAGACATATGCCTCTCTCTAATTTTGCATAAACTTTCCTATGCTCCAAATTCTTTTAATGCGCACCAATGGTGGCCTGGAAATCAAACTGTCCAGTTCTTTCAGGATTCCAGGATTTTGTTAACTTAGGAATCGTAACTCGAACTCACTGCATGAAGCTAGATGCTACCTGATGAGCTCCACACTTTTCTTGGGCTTCCACAAAATACTAGCAGTTTTTTTTTATTTATCCTTTGTAGTTAAAAAATCATTTTAAGAAAAAAAGAAGTAAAATAAAGAATAGAGTAGGTTAGCTTCCTAAACATTGTTCATTGTCACCAGCACAGTCATCCCTGGTTAAAAAAAAACAAAACAGTCCCATATCTTTTTTGATGTACCTTTTGTCCCCTAATATGGCCAACCCCAGCTCCTTCCCCTTTTCTTATCCTTAATTATTGTCACCTTCTGGTCATTCTTAATTTATTGCTTCTTAAAAACATTTTTAAGTTATTGTCTATGTCTTTGATATTTTTTAAAA